CGCCTAAGACAGCCGGGAGTGAAGCATGGGTCTCACCTCAACCCTAAAGCACCAAGTTAAGATGGGATAGTCATCAGAGATGAAGAGTTCCTTAAGGGCCTTTAGGGTTTAGGGTTTAGGATTTGGGGTTTAGGGTTTGGGGTTTGGGGTTTAGGTATTTGGGATTTGGGGTGTAGGATTTGGGGTTTAGGATTTGGGGTCCAGGGCCCGGGGTTTCCATGCTTTTTTCCCTTGCAGAACTTCTCCGCTATCGGGATCAGGGTTGACGTAATGTAGGGTTTAGGGTTTAGGGTTTAGGGTTTAGGGTTTAGGGTTTTGGGTTTAGGGTTTAGGGATGTAGAGGCCTTCATCATTAGACTAGGGTATCGGGGTCCATTATACTATAGTTATAGCAAGGAACCCCGCAAGAGAGTATACGTAATTATCAAGGCCCCTACGTTGGAAGGTTGGAGGCAGCCCTCCAAACTGCTAGAGGTTCACCAACAGCCAATAAACCCTGAACCCTAAAACCCTCAAACCCTAAACTCTAAACCCTAAAACCCTCAAACCCTCGAACCCTAAACCCTAAACCCTAAAACCCTCAGACCCTAAACTCTAAACCATAAAACCCTGAAACCATAAACTCAAAGCCCTGTGCAGTTGTAACAGGAGCCCTAGGTCACACAGGCTTCAATGACTAGGCCAGGAAGGGGTGATGGAGGCTAGGAGCTTACCCTACACCCTAAACCCCGAAACCCTAAACCCTAAACCCTCAAACCCTACAACCCTAAACCCTATACCCTAAAACCCTAAAACCCTAAAACCCTAAAACCCTAAACTCCGACACCCCTAAATACCCTCAACCCTCATCAGAAGAAGGCTTTCTAGAGTTTCTTAGACTAACTTCACAATGCTCTTGACATGTGGAATCAGGGTTTAGGGTTTAGGGTTTCGAGGCAAGAAGACCAAACTTTGAACCCAAACCCTACACCCTAAACCCTATTCGGATCTCTTGTGTTGGGCTTTGGGAGTTGTAGGATGAGTAGGGTTTAGGGTTCAGGGCTTAGGATTTAGGGTTCAGGCTTTAGGGTTCAGGCTTTAGAGTTTCGGGTTCAGGGTTTAGGGTTTAAGGTTCAGGCTTTAGGGTTCAGGGTTTAGGGTTTGGGGTTTGGGGTTTAGCTGTTAGGGGTTTCGAGTTTAGGGTTTCGGGTTTGGGGTTTAAGCAGGCCAGCAAAAAAAAAACTAAAAGCCAACTCGTAGTCGCAATCTTGCAGCCCTACTGGTTTAGGGTTTAGCAGCCCTACTGCCTTTTGTTCGCTAACCGTGCTCTTCCAAGTAGAAGGTAAAGTACGGTATTGAAGGAGGGAAGTCTGCAACGCGAGACCCTTCATGAAGGAATCATAGGGTTGATAGGCTCTGTGATCAGCGCAAAGCCCTAAACCCCGAAGTCCGATAGCTAATTACATGGGCTAGAATTCAGGTTCGGTGGTTTTGGAATAGATCAGTTTGGGGTTTTTTTTCAAGTGCAATGGCCCCTTTCACTCAGGGTTTAGGGTTTAGGGTCTAGGATTTAGGGTTTAGGGTGGGCTTAGGGCCAGGATTTCCCAACGGCATTCTCCTCGAAATTCAGCGTTCCGTCCCCTGTCTCGTCCATGGTTTGAAACAGCCTCTCATGGCGCGACATGGGTAGTTCTCCAAACTGGGGTCCCTTTTTAGATTTCAATTATCGTGCCCCGGAACAAGAGGACCCCACCAGGGACCCAAATTTAGAGAATCGGATAGTGAGACGCGAAAGCCCGCGACTCATAGGGATGAAGAACAGGTTGATAAGGGTTTAGGGTTTAGGGTTTAGGATGATTAAGGGTTTGGCTTGCTTAACCTTTCGAAGGTCTTCATGGGCTGAATTAGCAGGGCTATGGGGCTATCATTCTTCGAATGTTTTCAAGACACCCTTGCGTTCTGCAGTGGCGCTGCACTTTAATGGGGTCGGCCTTTTTAGGTTGGGCTTACGGGAGATTCGTGAGCTGAGTCCTGTTTGACACAGCAATTGCCAGGGCTCACAAAGGGCACAGAAGGTCTTCTCAATTTCAAGGTTTGGGTTCGGAGCTTTCGGCCCCTTATTGTAAAAGTGCCCCGCCTTCGAACCTTGTTGGTGTATGTTATGACGTCCCTCTCCTTCTGTTTGAAGGCCAGTTCTTCGTCGAAGCTGGCTGTTTTCATGGTCTGCTGCACGAAGACCGCATTTACGACATTCAACCTTGGTTGGCGCACTGACTCACTTGTGCAACATGGACATCACCGAACAACACATTTGAGCTGTCAGTTTAGAAAAAGCACCCGCGATCTGAGTTGTTTTAACATCTTCATGGCCCTGAGAACGGGTTGCAGCTGTTCTACTTGTGTGGCAGCCGAGCAACACTGCAAATCCAATGATGCATCGGTAAACCAGGAAAAACAGAGAGAACCATTCCTGAGTCGTGCAGCTCGTGCTGCAGATCTGTTCTGTGGTTCTGCTCCTGCTTTCGAATTGACAAAGTCTTAAACCAGAGATGCTGGTGGTAATTTCCATACATAAAACAAAACATGTACTTTCGTCGCCCAAAGTTCGCTCACGTTGTCCACGAGGACTCTACAGGGTGGGGCCCAATTGGCGAATAAGATTTCAAACATCGTCAAGAAGGTACCTCAACAGTTCTTTTGAAAAGAACAACCTTAAATGCTTCGTTCAACCGAACAGCAAAACCTTACAAGCTTTTGGTGTTAATTATCACGAGTTCGGCATTTAGGATAGACTGTGAGGTGTTTGAGGTTGAGGGTTTGGGATTGACCGTTGAGGTTCCGGATTTAATGTTTAGGGATTACACTGTTCAGAATACGAAAACACATCAACCGAAAGCATGTTCCGTTTCGCTAGACTCACTTCTCTTTCAATCAACTAGCTTCCGTCAAGGTGGACCGAGATGCGTGTAAAGCTGCCATAATAACGGTAAACTTCTTCACGTGTCGCGAGGAGGAATTCTGGGTTCTCAATGAAGTCGCGGCAGAGTGTGCTGACGATCATGCCCGCCACACACTGCAAGAAGGTAAGCAAGCAGAACGTCCAGAAGAGCATATCGATACTCGCCATCAAGCATTTGATGAGCAACTGGAGAGACGACAGGACATTCGTCATGGTCACCTCGGCATATCCGTGCCCAGCATACTTTCGATAGCTGACAGTCAGGTGTTAATGTTAGTTTCCAAGTCCTGTGGTGTCAGTCTGCGGGAATCCTATAATCCGAAATCACAAGTGACAACTTTACTACCCGAACGATTTATGGTGCATATGGGGGCGGCGGACTGGGACGCTAGCTAGTGCAGCGACTCCAAGGGAGCCGCACGAGGATTTAAGATTCGTTAAGCCAGGAAGGTCAAGAAGTACCGGAACCCGAAATTTCCTACCCACAGCTTGAAGCTGCAATCCTTGGCTTTTGCATGGCTTCGTTTCAAAGCAACATAAGAGCTTGTGCGCAGATCGATTCTAGCAGACTGAATAGATTCACTCACCTCTGTGCCTATCACATACCCACACACAGACACACATCTTCTCAAAGCTGGGTTGCACACATGGGTGGCTTTTTCGTGTGAGAAAATGCTGAGTGAATGCCCTGGCTGACACATGCATGCGTCGCCTGTTCTCCTCACATGCAAACAGATCGCGGCAAACGGGCATGCTTGCTCAGCTCGATTGCCTTCAATAGCCAAGGGATAAAGAATATGAAAACGTCACAAGCAAAAATGCAGGTACACACTGGTGGCCAACCACTTCCCCCAGCATATCTTAGCCTCGTTGCGTCAGGTAGGTATGATGGGCTTGACGCCCCTACAGACAAAAATGTCTTTGAAGATAAAAGCTGCGAGCAACACAGACATGTGCAGGACGTTGCAGAGCGACCTCCCCTAGCCCATGATGTACAAAAATTCACATATATATATGTACATGTATATATTCTTTATATACTTATTTATGCACATACACACACCCGGAGATCGAGCAATAGTTGTCATCGCAATGCTACTTGCACACGACCCAATCACAACCTCACAGTTCTGGACAAAAGGGTCATAGGTGCGCAGTGGTCCATCCTAATCCCAGAAAAGGCAGGTACGTGATCGCAGCATATCAGAATCATATCACACTCAACAGACAGGCGTCTTCGCCGGCCTGAGTCCTGTCTGTGAGCCTCCGGCCGCCTGATCGCGACAAGGGCACTCCTAGCAAATGGTTGTGCGAAAGCCTCATGAATCCCTCTTGGCTGGCTGGCGATCGGCTGGGCATAAGCCGCTTCTTGCAAGTGTGCGCCCCCGCTGGAAGCCACGGGCTCTTTCGAGGAGCCTGAGGGCATGCTTCGGCCTTTGCCTTCTGCGCTTCAAGTCTAGCGCTGCACGGCCTGCCCCTTGGCCACGCATGACACGTGGATCAACACATCCATGGACTCTGTCAGCTCCGCAGACGTCTGAGCCAGTTGCGCTGGCGAGATGCGTGTGGTGCGTTACTTGCTTGGCGCCTGAGCCCTCGCCACTGCTGCGTGGTGCATCACAGCTGGCAGGTACTAGAGTAGCACATCACATGTGGCATGTGTCCAGTCATCAAAGCTGGTGAAGGCAAAGGGTTTGACATTGAGGCCATTTTTCAATCTGTGATAGAGAATGAGCAAGTGGACCCCCGATTCCCCCAGCAGGCATCTCCGGTAGCTCCACCTTGCCCCCTTATGGCTTTGAGCACCAGCAAGTCTCGCTATGCAACTGCCCACGATTCGGCAATACATAATTGCGTGCACTCTCTGTGGACAGTGTCTTCAGGACGCCAACCGCACTAAAGACCGCTGGCGCAAGACTCATGCTCTTGCATTGGAAGTTCACAGAGGCCGAAGCGCGTATAGTCATGCACGCAGCCTCAGTGCCAACTTTAGCGACCCGTGCCAGCGCTGCTCCAGCACAGCTAAAAACCCCAAAGCCCACGCGGCCCAATGTCCAGTCAGGCAAACGCTGCGTCTGGACGAGCTCCAACAAGATGCCGGCCCAGGCCAACGCCAGTCAGAGCGAACGGCTGCACACAAAACCTTCCATACCAAGTGCCCTTGCTGTTGTGCTATGTATTTGCCGGGACAGTTGCTCTGCTCATCACATCGCCGCTCGAGCCGAACTGGTAGCGCGTATGCCCGGCTGGTTTTTCGGTATACGACAGCAGGATGCCGCCGAATACTTCGCAGTCTTGCTTAGACATCTCACGCAGGAAGCGTGGTAATCCCGACTTCAGCACGAAGGGGTTCATGATAATCACCCTTGACCTCACTTCATCCAGATCTGATTTGCAGCAACTGATACAGGACTACAGGAGTGGAATGCGCAACACTTTACCCCTGCACTAAACATTTATCCCCCGGTATTGTGCATTCAGCATGGCCGGTACCCAGGACATCGCAAGCTTGCCCATCCGACTGACATTCCCCACGCGCTTGATGTTCCCTCATACATGTCGGCAAACACGCTCTCGGGTACCTGGTTGCACTACTCTGTCACATCCGTCATTGTTCACCTAGGTCGCTCTCCTCATCCGGGGCAATATCGCGCCTGGCTTCAGGTCGATGATTGCCGGTTGTACACCAATGGTCATGTCTGTTCGCAACACAAAGCTCTGCTCCCCCAACATTTTCGTGGCTCATACGTCTTGAGCGGCTCAACCCTGACGTTATAGTACGTTATAGTGGAGCCCATTGCATGTGCTCAGGTGTGATGTTGAATGGGGTCGAGGAAGTTGTGAGCTTTGACTTTCTGGCCTCTTATGCGCCGAAGGGGACCACTGCAGGGCCGGAGCCAACCTCCGCACCACATGAAGATGAACGTGATGCCAAGTGGAAAAGACGCGATACTAACAAGGGTGCGCCAGGTAAAAGGTGCGGAGCTCCCAAGCGCGATCGTGAGCCGTTCAGTCACTATAGTCGTGAACCCCATCGTGGTACTCAGCGTGGCTTCCTGAACAACTTTCGCTCTCACAGTGGAGGATTGCGCATAGTCTTGGTAGCTCGTTTCTGGGTAGGATGCTTGTACATCACTTGTTCCACTTATTAATGTGTCGGAGAGAGTCGGATATAGCATGTCTGTCCCGACGAGTGCGCTGGACCCACGAGTCGGCATTCCTGCACAGCAGGTGGCCGGCCGTAGGCTCTGACCGAGCGGACGTAATGCGGCTCTTGCAGCCGTGGCATGCAGACAGACAGAGAGAGACAGAGAGACAGAGAGATGATCATGATCATGGTCATGATGATTATGATGGTGATGGTGATTGTGTTGGTGGTGGTGATGGTGCTGATGATGATGTTGATGATGATGATGATGGTGAGTGTGTTGGTGGTGCTGCTGCTGATGATGATGAAGAAGAAACTGACGATGATGATGATGATGATGACGATGATGTTTGTGATGTTGAAGACGGCGATGACGATGACGATGATGAGGAGGAGGAAAATGAAGATGAGGAGGAGGAGGAGGAGGAGGAGGAGATGATGATGATGATGTTGATGATGTTGATGTTGTTGATGTTGATGTTTCAGTAAATGGCAGCCAGAGCTGAACGGCTGAGCATCCTGAACGCTGATGTCGAAGAATTCAGGTTTAGGGTTTAGGATGCCCTAATTTTGTAGGATCCTGCGTGGGCTGCATGGCCCACGGTTTGCAACGCAACACCGAACACCCGAAGCGCAGAACCCTGAACCCTAAACTCTGCAGCCTAAGTGTAAGACCCTAAACCCTAAAGCCTAAACCCTAAACCCCTAAACCCGTAAACCCCAAACCCTAAACCCGTCAGCCTTCCGAAACAGGAACCCCTGCATCCTAAAGCTTTTCCAACGTGTAAGCACCAGCGAGAAGGGTGCTCCTCACGTCCCGCTGCGTTTCCGGTTCAGCGGATCAGGCTGTAGGGGTTCGGTTAGGGAAAAGCGCTTAGGGTTTAGGGTTTAGGGCTTAGGGGTTGGTGGTACTGACGCGTTACGGGGATTACTGCGCAGGGCCTTCACGGAAAAGCGAACAGCCACGCCACCGATTCTAATCGAAGTTGTTTTCAGTGCCAGCATTGGGCATGTTTAGGATGTAGGGTGGAAGCGTCAGAACCCATCGAAACTTTGCCTGTATGTGGCAAAAGAACCCTCAAAGGAAACCCCCAAACTAACCCTAACAAAATTTCCTACAAGTAGATCACAAACCGTCTAACCCCGAGTAGCAGACGAGCCACCATTCGAAGAGCTCGTGCCAGCTTGAAAATCCGAAGTAGCCGGAAAAGGACCGGGTTCACCTTCCAGGTTGCAGGGAAAAACCGGCGGTGGGGTATAGGGCCTACTCCTTCTGGTTTCGGCTTTGGGGTTCAAAGCGCGTCTGCTTAGGGCTTAAGGTGGGGGGTTTGGGGTTTAAGGCTTCGGGCTGAAGCTTCAGAGTTCACGGTCAGTTGTTTAGACAATGACCAGCAGCAACGAACGGTTTGAGTAGAATGCGAAAAGCCAAGGCTTAGTAGACTTGAGATAGTAGGATGGTGCTGCTGCTGCTAGTATTTCTGCTAGTATTGCTGCTAGTCCTAATCCTACTCCTACTACACTCCTGCAGATACTGCTGCTACTCCTAGTACTACTCCTACTCCTACTACTCCTACTCCTCCTCCTCCTCCTCCTACTACTACTACTACTATTCCCACTACTACTACTACTACTACTACTACTACTACCATTGCTACTACCACCTACGAACTCCTCCTGCTGCCGCTGCTGCAGATGCTGCTTTAGCAGGATTCGGGTTCATCTTCGTGGGACTCTTCAGTGCAATGTCTCATGGCTTCAAGCCCTAAACCCTAAACCCTAACACCCTAAAACCCTAAAACTCTAAACCCTAAACCCCTAAAGGGTTTAGGGCTTGGGGTTAGGGTTTAGGGTTTTTCTAGGGTTTAGGGTTTAGGCCACAGTTTAGGGTTTATGAGGGTTTAGGGCATGGCTTCGGGCTTAGGGTTTAGGGTTTGGGGCTCTCTCTTGTCTTTCCTCCCCTTGCGCGCCGGCAGAAGGAACACGCGCGAAGTGAGCTCGAAAAGGGACGCGACGGTCACGGCCACGTCCACATAGTTCAGGCAGACCTGACAGGGACAGAAGACAT